AAAGCAACTAAGAGAATCTAGATAGACTCAAGCATGACGTCTGGCAAAAATTGCCTCCAAGCTAGCTTCGAAGGTTTTCACCTTCCTGTCCATCCTCTCTTTGCCTTATATGTCCATATGCACCTTGTGGGTTTTACCCCTCTTGGTGTCTTTACTAGTACCGAATGGAGTTGAAATACAAGTATTTAATCTCATTGTTCATAGCTTGAGCAACACTTGATCAACAACATCTTCTAGTGCATTATCGTAACTAGTAGGTTCAATGTCACTCAACAAGAGACAACTTGAGAGTTAACAAGGTTCTCTCCCACTACGAATGTACTGCACTAGACCTTGTGTATTTATAGGTAAAACAAAGAGTGGGTCAAATGGTGGATCTTCAATTTCTTGAGGATTCGCTTATTCTTGATATTGTTCCTCCACATGTGATACTAATATTTCTACTAGTTTCACTTATATATTATCATGTTGAATTTCCAATTACGGTTCTCTTGTTTGTTCACCTAGAGATATATCTATCCCCTCTTGATCAATCAAGGGAACAATGGATGAAGCTTCTAGAGATTATGGAAATTCTTGATCTGAGATAATTCTCATCAAGAATAACCTTACTTAAGAGCTTATAATTTCTTTTCTAGTCCTCCTTTAAGAAAATCATGTGAGTGCACTTAGATTATCTTGTCCTTAAGACTAAATAAGAAATCATCTCTAGTTCTCTTAGGGTAGCCAAAAGATATGCACTCATCCATACAAGATTCCATCTTATTTGACTGTTGTTGTAGGACGTGTGTCGTAGCACCCTAAATTCGAATATGGTTTGATCTGGGCTTGCACCCTTTCCATAATTCTTTAGGTGTCATTACAACAAACTTTGACGGAACCAAGTTAAGAAGGTACATTTCTTCTCCTAGGCATCTCCCTTGAACAACATTAGCAAAGATGAATAACTGAACATGATCTTCACCAAGTCTAGAAATGTTTGATTTTTTCATACTGCAACTTCATTCAACTAACGCGTTCTTAGAGTTGACAGTTATGAAAACTATCCCCTCTTAAATCAGGTAAGACCTGAACTTACCAGACAGGTAGCCAACACTTTAGTCAGACCAAAGTGTTTTGATTTGAACACCTACATGATTTTTTCCCTCAAACTTAAACCTCTTGAAAATTTCCAAAAGCTTTAAACTTATGGCGCACTTGGTTCATCTGTCCAAATCCAGAGTAAACACTCATATAATGAAGTACTCATCACCTCTTCTGGTCTGAACGCTAATTGGTCCTCATACATTAGTATGCACCAGTTCCAGTTGAATAGTTGCGTAAATCTTTTTGGCCCCTTGTAGGATTGCTTGGCCATTTTACCTTCCAAATAGGACTAACATGTAACTTTTAGTTAAAAGATTCTTGAACTTTCAGTCTCTCTTTTAACCAAAACATGTTTCCTACTTGAGGTAATGTGACTCAATCACAAAGGTCAAAGTTATGTTTCATTTGAAACTTTTATTTCTTTGGTGAAAATTCTTATTCATCATCCTTTCCATTCAACATAATAAATTAAATGGTATATATAACTCAAGTAATAAAGACAATTTAATATACCGGAATAAAAGAAGATGAACTTCTTATTGAAACTGAGGAATTAAATTGTACCGTTAAACCATGTTTTCACAAAACAACTAACAAAAATAAAATTCCTCTTCAAATCCAGAATAAATAAACAGTCATCCAAAACTAAAGTCATAAATTATCAAAAGATAAAATAACTTGTTCCACTGCTAATGCAGACACAAGTTCCCATTTTCAAGCTTAAAATATCTATGTCCATTGCTGACATGTATGCCATGTTTGAACTACTGCAAAGAGTAACAAACATAATCAGTGATTCCTGAATCAATAATTCATTCACTGATTAGGCCTTCATATGCCCATATTTGGTTCTTTTCATCACCTCTGGGCAATTTTTCTTTAAGTGTCCCTTCAGTCTGCTTTTGAAGAACCTGCTTTGCGGCTTCTTCATAGCAACTGGTTTGACAACTGATCACCAAGTTATCTTGTTCTTGTTACCACCCTTGGGTTTTCCCTTGGATTTAACAAGACTTTTAGCAAAACCTGCGTTGACTGCATTCTATCTAGCTGAGCTGCTAGACACAGCAAACATGTAATTAAGAGTCTGAAGCATCTCTACTCCACTCTTAACCATGTGCATTTGCTTAGGCAAGTGTTTGGAAAGACTGACAAAAACATAATAGCGAACTACCATATTTGTCCTTTTCCAATCTGAGTATTGCGTCCTAAGAAGCATCCTCTGCAAGTTGCTATGGCCCTTGTACTGTTAGGACAAATATTTAGCTTTCATGTTTTAGAACAATATTAAAAAATAATTTTCCACTTAGTTGGTACCATCTAGATGTTTATGACTCAAAATCATTTCTAAGATATTTTCTGAAAAACATATAAAGCACACAATTACAAACAAATAATGCAATAAACAAACGAAGTACAAGTAGATTCTTATAACTACTCTTGTTTATTATTAATAAATCCTTTAGTTTATCTTTACAAGGCTTACGACAGGCAAGATACTTGTAAAAACTAAAATTGTTATTTGATCCTTCGGTGCCGTTATCAGAGCCTCGACGGGAGGGTTAATAACTTTACCAAATTTGAATGTAATTAACCATTGTTTAATTTTAAAATTATCTTTAGTTTCTAAATATTACTGACGACGAGCTGTACAATATCTAACTAAAATTTTAAAATTATTAAGGTCCAATCAAATAAAATCCGATAATGCTTATCCGACGGGGCTTCACATGACCATTTTATTAATGGACCCACAAATGGAGCCCGCAGGTTTTAAAATTAAATACTTAATTTAAAACCTTCACCCATTCAATATTTTATTTGAGAATTTTTTATAAGTTCTGTTGAATTGATTGTTTAATTTCAAAATTATCTTTAATAACTTAGTATTGTCGACGTTGGGCCGTACAATACTTTATTAAAATTTTGAAATTATTAAGGCTCGATAAAATCCAATCATGCTTATCCGTTGGAGCCTCACATGATTATTTTATTGATAGGCCCACAATGCGCCTGGAGGTTAAATTAATTTCTTAATTTAAATTCTCTCCTATAATTATTTAGGTCCAATCTAATAAAATCCAATCATGCTTATTCGATGGGACTTCACATGATTATTTTATTAATGGACCTATAATGCGCTTGAAGGTTAAATTAATTTTTTTAATTTAAATCTCCTTCCATTCAACATAAGCAATTTTTCCAATTTTTAATAATTTTTTAATTGAGAGTATCCTTTGTTTGATTTCAAAAACTATGTAAGCAAGAGCGCCGATGAACGTGCATCACTTAGCTTATCTGAATTTTGAAATCATTAAGGTCCTAAAATCCTGTCACTTTACGTCAGCGTGTGCTCCACACATTCATGATACATGAATGCTGTATGCATCGTGTGTTATTCCATGACCATTTCAGAAAACCCACAAATCACTCGCAAAATAAAAGAATTCTCTTAGAAAATTATCTTAATTATTTTTCTAGATTTTAAATCATCCAAATAGCTGATTTAATTATTAATCTAGATTGCAACAATCATAATAATTATCATTTATGAGGATAATTTGAAATCAAAATAATTTCCATAACGATTATTTGTCTTGATGTTAATCATCCAAAATTAATTAATTCAAATATTAATCTATATTTTTAACAAAAATCATATTAATTATTAATTAATTTCTTAGGATAATTTAAAATCAAAATAATCTCATAATAACTATCATACTAGTCGCTGAAGACATAATAGCTATTATGCTCATGTAATCACACAAGTTATGCAACAATATGACACCACCTATTCTATATGACATGTTATCGCAATAAACCATGTTATCAATCATATAAATCATCTAATCATACAATTAAGGCAATTAATTATAATAAAGACCTTAATCCATGGTTTCCTAAAAATAAAATAAAATTACAGAGTAATTAATTAGGAAACTTTGCGACTGATTGCTCCTTTCCTTCTAGTCCATAGGTTCTGTTTCAAGCTTCTTTATGGTAGCCATGGGCCCAAAGGCCCAAAATACCAACTTTTGGCGAGAAACCCTAAGTCAACATACAGGAACCCTAGCCGTCACGTCCATTGCACCGTCATCCGAACTCATCTCAGCACGAAACTCCAGGGGAAGGACCGCCTTGAAGAGCACCGCCGCCGGAACCACCCAAAAAGGTGGCCGGACGCTCCCTCACTCTCTCATTCTTTTCCGGAGAGTGGTGGCCACTTGCATAAGCTTGTGGCAGCGCGTGGAGGCTTAGGTGGCGGTGATTTACCCACCGTTGCGTTCGTCTTTCCGTCCTCTTTCCAACCACATATAGATCGCCTCATTATGAGATCGGGAAGTCCTCGAAAAGTCTCTGACAGGGCTGACTGCGCATCTTCCTCGCGGTTTCACGATCTTGAACTTTTACAAAATTTGAAAAAATACACAGAAATTCCGAATAATAAATAAAAACATCAAGGAGAAAACCTAATCATATAAGATTAGCCTCCTTGTTACAACCCAAGAAAATACAAGGAAATTTCTACCATGGATTAAAGCCAAAACCGTACAAAGAATAGATTTTTAATGAAAAGGATAATCATGCAAATATTTGAATAACAAATATAGAATCATAAGTTCCATATTTTATGAAGCAAAACTAATTACACGAATATTGAAACTAGATTCACATACCAATGTACAGCCAAGGCTCTGATACCAATTGTTGGAACTATAAGGTTTATGCGGAAGCGGTTTAGGACCTAGTACATTTGTATGCTTACTGAATCATCCTTGTTTCACAATTACCTCTTGGTGCGAAGGTCTCGTGTAGAATATTCCCTTGTATGATTCCTCTTCACGAACAGCTCACCTCAGCGCCGCAACACGAACAACCTCCTTGAAGCTAGATTGTGGCAGATCTTCCAGACTATGTCTCAAGAGGAAACGGGAAGTGTGTGGGCACTCTCTTACTTTCAGGGAGATGACCTTACTTCAACCTCTGCAACCATCAAGTAAAGACTAGTGAGGTTGATGACTATAAACGTAGAATATATATGGGTTCTAAGAAACCCTAACCCTGAGCAGAATGAGCTTTAGGTTTCTTAGGCTCATTTTACACTATGACCCTATTGGGCTTTAGCGAAAGAGCAAAACCAAACATAACTTAAATGAATCCTGAATGCTGTTGTAGCGAAATGCTTGTGGCAAGCTGGAGCAACCCACAGTTTCTTCTGTTCAGGATTACTCCAAAACCGTGTTTAGCACTGCATCACAAGTTCAATAAGGAAATGAGATTCCAATAACCTTTTATTATTGTTCACTACAATGCATGTCTTTCTCTTTTTGATTTTGGCATTAAAGTTTATGATTCAGATAAATGGGTTTTGGGATGTAGGGCTAAACCTGAGGTGCAGCTAAGTGCCAGCACCAGATAGAAAGTAACTTTTGATTCCAATGTGAAAACATACGAGCTTGTTTTGCTAGATGAAGTTGCTGATTTCCTACCAGAGAAGTGTGAAGAACATAGAGAGGAGGAAGATTTGGTAAAATCAAACCAATCAAAGTCTTACTCTGAAGATAGTTTGGTGACTTCAACGGGGTCTTACCCAACAAATCATAGGTACCATAATTGCTCAGATAGGGATGATGAAGATGGAGAAATGGGTTATTGGGATAGTGATCTTACTGATGAGGATTATGAAGAAGAAGATGGTGATAGTGATATGAAGGAAGAGTGTATTGAATTGGGAGAGGACTTTAAAGATGGAATAGTATACTCAAGTTCATGGGCAAGAAGTGCTGCTAATCAAGTGGGTGTTGAGGATGTGGAGAACCCAATCCCAACGTGTGATAAAGATGTGAAGGTCAATTGGGTTGAATTTCAATGCCCGAGATAGGAGTGTTTATGTTCATCCTGTGCTGAAACCAGTACAAAATCTCACTCAATGGAAAGAAGTTAAGGCTAAAAGAACACCACCATTGATGTCTCAGAAAGAGAATTTCATTTTGAATCAAGAGTCTCAATCTGCATTTGGCGCAGAATCATCAAAGAAGTTGAACCAGGAAATTGTAATTGATGCTAGCCTTTCAAATTGGTTGGTTTCATCAGAAACTACACCTTGCAACAAGGCTAGCTCAGTAGCTTTGTATGCGAGTACCCCTGAGAGGAGCAGCTCTCAAGGCTCAAATTCAGTGATTAGCTATGAAGATAGGCCAATTTTAAGAGCATTGACAGTTCAAGAGCTCAAACAGTTTTCAGTTTCTTCTTCGCCAAGAAAGTCGCCAAGTCCATGTGAGGGATGAGATGTACATTATAGGCTCTGCTGAGGATTCTGGCTCAGCAATTTTCTTTAAGGGAATAGCACATTGAGGAAATTCAAGTGGGTGCAGTTAAAGTGAAAATTTTGAGGGAAATCATGCGTTGGTTAACTGGTTGTGTAGGATAAGAGAGTGAATTGGCACTCAACCCCATTTTGAGATAAGGTTAGAGAGAGAGCTTTGAACGGAGGTGCTGCTTAAGCTTCTTCCACATATGTTACTCGTGTATCTTAAACACTATATAGATAAAAACTACAGGATTGATGGATTTAATTCAATCTTCATTCTTATTAAGTATTAGAACATAATGCAGATAAAAATGACCCAGGTACTGAAGTACAAAATAAGGGAGAACAAATTATGACTGAAGTGCTGAAGGGTTTGCATCTTTGTCCTCAAAAGTTGCGTTGACAGAAAGTTTGCAAGTTCGTCCACAAAAGTTGCAGTAGTAATGAGAAAGGATATTTGTCCAAAAGTCATGTTGGGAAAGGATTTGCAACTTTTTCTATTGCAATATTATCTATAATGGATTTGATCTTTTCTAACCAGCAAGTTGGACTGAACCACGTTAAATTTGTGTGTGATATATGTTTATGATATTTTTCTTTAATATAAGTATTCATATATGTTAAGTTGGAATGCTTCTTCCCATGACGTTGAACCGAAAAAGAAATTAATTTTTTTATATGAAAAGGACAGGATCCGTTTACAAATTTTTTTTGCAATTACACTAAGTAGGACCGGTCGTACACTGTGTGATTAATGTAGGACCGGTCCTACTTAGCGTAGTTTGTAAGAATTTGTAAATAAAAAAGTTTGTAAATATAACTTGCCCCTGTATGAAATTGTTTAGAGAAGGACAGTTGAGGACAAGTCTCATCGTTTTTTAAGGTTTAGGTAGGTTCATATCCTAAGCAAACAGACTATTTCCACAACTCGAAACTGTAATAAGGTGGGTTGATATGATAACGACTTGCTTCAAGACTCGTTTCCTTATTATATGGAAATTTTGAATGGTTGATATGATATTGTATGGCTCTGTTTATCTTTAATTCCTTGTTGGTTTCATGACAACATAACATGAAGAAATTTTCACATGATATCTGAAAATTGTTGTTTTATAATGTGTGTTTGTGTTGGGCCTGTAAGGGGACTCACTCACATTGGGATTCCCCAACACATTCCCTATAAGATGTCAACTGTCAAGTGTGAATTTTTTTTTGTTTATCTTTCTCTTTATTAACATTAAATAAACGAAGTCCAATTAAAATTTATGAACACGGATATAGATGTATATATTCCATATGAGGAGATCATATGAAATTTAAACATCATCAATTCCCAACTTTTGGATGGATGCTAATTAAAATTTATGAACTTGAAAGTGAGCAAGTGAGGGTAAGAAGTATGTGTTTGATCTTTTTCAGTATCATTTTTGGGAGGGTTTAAAACTTTAATACTGGACTCGTTCCGAACAGCATTGTCTCCCGTGGAGATACATATGGTTTATAAAAAAAAAAAATCGAAAGTGTTCCACATACCACATTTACAGCGATGGTTTCCTTATATTTTGACAGACAATGGATCTTGTAAGAGAGCATAGTTACCACTTTCAGGAAAATCTATAATCTGTGTTTGAAAAAAAAAAACAAAATGTTGGTAGAAAAATTAATACAAAATGATAGTGATATAAATGACACGCTAAAAAATTCATGATGTTTAGCGAGAATAAAATATCAATAAATGAAAAAATATATTTATTTTTAATATATTATTATATTCAAAAAATTCGAAAATATTTATGTATATAATTAAGTATTTGATAAATGAAAGATTGCTAAGAATATATTCTAAATGAATTAATATATTAGTACATAAATATATTTATATAACTATTTTTTTTTTAAATATATTAATCAATAAGTATTTGTCTTTTTTTTTTTGAAATAATTTTATCTTTCTTTATAAATATATTTGTGTTTGGATTAAGTTTCCTTGATAATATAAGGTTTACATGCTTTTTATGATAATTTTAATTAAAAAAAATAAAATTTATATAAATTATTTTAAAAAATAGTTTATTTATAACTTAAATTTAAAAGTATCTTTTAATTAAAAAAATTGTATAATCACAAAATAACTTCAGTTTTATTTTTTAATTTTATTATTTTAATATTTTTTTTTGGTGTGGAATTCTTATTTTTAACTTGAGTTTTAAAATAATTTTTAAGTTAAAAAAACTATGCCAAATATGCTCTTAATTTGCATGTCTATCCATGCTTTCTAATTCATTTATTATAGATATACTAATTAATAATTAGTGACTTGTTAGCAAGATAATTAAAATCGGAAATAAAATATCACAAAACGTAAAATCGTAAAAAAGTAAAAACGATTATAAGTTAATGAAAACGTTTTGACAAAAAAAATAAATCGTACAAACTAAAAAAACGCAGTTTTAAAAATAGTTTTTAACTACCCTGCTTATTAGAAATATTGGGTTATGCTGTTATTACTTAAGAACCTTTTGATCCCTATATATATATATTAATATATCTATTTTAGTCACTTAAGTGGTTATGCTTTATGAAGTAAGTTATAGTGTGCAGTGCCCACACAACTCTCTCTCCTTTCTTGATTCATAACTCGAAAGATCTGACCATACTATAGTCATTATACACGAGAAGATTCATCTGTACCGTGCAAAGAGAAGAGATTCAGCACCACGCTTACGTTACAAGAGGCAGATGAATTATGATGATTTGTTAATAATATCCCAAACTACAATAAATTCCTCGAAGAATTTTTCCTTTTTAGAGGACTATTGGTCACTGTTTAAAAACCCGGCCGGCCATCAACCCGGTCGAGGTCAGGGGTTTAACCGGGGGGTCACAGGGTCACTATGCTGACCCGATTTTATATATTAAAAAAATATAAATATATATATCCTATATGAAAATATTAAAAAACAAATCATCAATCATCAAAGATTTAAAATATACTTAACATAATTCACCAATTACAACCACAAGTTAATATTACACAACCTAATTAAAGTATCAAGATACCAAAGTACAAAACTCATATTCTAATGGGGTCACTACGCTGACTCGGTTCTGCCTCTTTTGAGAAGGTCTCTAACAAAGGAAAATTTAAAGGAAGTAAGAATGAGTTTTTGTTTTCCATCGACGACAGTAAGAATTTCAATTGAATGGGTAAATTTTTTACCTTTTCTAGAAGATTCACGGCAGCGAGGTGAAGATTGAAAACGTCTAGGTCGCTATGAGAGAAGAGAACGATTAGATTTAGGTTTACAAACATTTTTATTTTATTTTTTTTAATAAAACAATGTTGTTTCATAGAATTTTTTTTTTAATAAAAAAAAACATGCAGTGACCTCCTTTGACCCCTCTGACCCAGGAGTCACTGAAACCCTGCCGGATTTTGGTAGTCGGAGGGGTCGATAAGCATATATGGTCCAACTTGTGACCCAAATCCTCAGAGGGGAGGGGTCAGGGTTGACCCGGGTCAACCCGGAGAGTGGGGCGGGATTTTAAAACACTGTTATTGGTTTCCCATGTAATTCTTTGTATATTTTTTCCATTCTAAAGTCTAAAACATGTCCAGCTTATTAGTTAAGCACTTTCACTTACATATGAATTTTGTTAAATACATCGTGAATTTACAAAAATATGCACAAACACGTTATAAAACACCAATTTGCAGATATCATGAGAAAACTTCTTCGTGTTACATTGTCATGAAACCAGCAAGGAATTAAAGATAAACAGAGCCATACACGATCATATCAACCATTCAAAATTTTCTTACGAAAATTTAATATGAATCTGGAGCTTCTATGTGAAAAAAATTATGATATTGTCATGGGAAGAAGCATTCAGCACAAAATCATGATATTACCCATGTTCATGTTTAAACCCTTATTTAAACAATTTCATATACTTGTTCTTACATTTCATTTTCGGTCCAACGTCATGGGAAGAAGTATTCAGCACAAAACCAAGATATTACATTGCGACCTTAATGTAATTTTCATGACATATAATTTATGAATTCAGCCAAAGCAACTCCTTCTATATTAAGCACCACTTGACCTACACATTGTCCATTTGTCCTTGCATCATAACGAGGTTTCTCTTGATTGCCTACCCAAAAAAAAATAGAAAAATAGAAAAATAGAAGAAGACTTTCGATTTACAATTGTCCATTTGTCCTTGCATCATAACGAGGCGTATCACCTAACCTCCAATATCTAAAAGACTTTTGATACAAGGACCCACACATAAAGGACCCTACTATCACTTTGCTCCTTGATGAACCATGAGCTACACTACTTGTAGGGGGAACACCACATAAATAATGCATTATTAGCTCTTTCTCCAAAATTTTGTTATGAAAAACTATTCCCCCAATTGCACTGCCAAATTTGCCAACATGAAGATAACTTTTCAGCTGGCAATTTTCTCTCTGGTTCTGTCTTGTATACTAGCAGAGATTTCAGCTCAGAAAGAAGCAGAGTCTCTCATTACCTGGATGAAAAGTTTGAACTCTCCCTTCCCGCCTTCATGGAATCTTACAAACAACAGCAATAGTCCATGCAACTGGATTGGCATTACGTGTGATAAAGAAGGCAGTGTTGTTGAGATAATGCTTCCCAATGCAGGCCTAGATGGTACCCTTAACAGGTTTGATTTTTCTGCCTTTCCCAATCTCACTACTTTCAATGTCAATTTGAATAACCTGGTTGGAGAGATACCAGCTGGAATTGGAAAAGCAACAAATATGAAAATACTTGATTTGGGTAGCAACAATTTCACTTATCCAATCCCCCAAGAAATGGGAAACCTCATAGAGTTACAAGTTCTTCGTCTCTCTAACAACTCACTCTTAAAACAAATACCAACTCAACTTAGTAACTTGCAGAAATTATGGCTTCTTGATCTGGAGGGGAATTATTTAGAGAATCCTGACCCTGCTCAATTTAAGGGCATGGCATCCATAACAGAACTCAATCTCAGCTATAACTATCTCACAGAGGTTCCCCCATTTGTTTCTAAATGTCCAAAGTTGGTTTCTCTTGATCTATCACTCAACACCATCACTGGGCAGATTCCAATACAATTACTGGCCAGTACTAGGAACCTGACCATCCTAGTCCTGTCAAACAACTCCTTTGAGGGGCTAATTCCGAAAGAAATTAAGAACCTTTCAAACCTCAAACAGTTAAGACTTGAATATAACAATCTGAGTGGTAATATACCAGAGGAGATCGGTCTCTTGTCAAACCTTGTGGTGCTTGAATTGCATCAAAATGTCTTCCAAGGTCCAATACCATCATCAATTGGAAATCTTCGTATGCTTCAGTATTTGGATCTTCACAATTCAGGGCTGAATTCCAGCATTCCTGATGAGATAGGCTTCTGCACCAACCTTACCTTTCTTGATATGTCAGGAAATAGCCTGACAGGTCCCTTGCCTCTTTCCATGGATTCTTTAACAAGGATCATAGATTTGGGAATCTCTGATAACAATTTATCCGGAGAACTTCATCCATCTCTTGTTTCCAGTTGGCCAGAACTCACTTCTTTACAACTCCAGTTGAATCACCTTTCAGGAAGACTTCCCCCAGAGATTGGTTCACTTCACAATCTAACTCTCCTATCCCTATATAACAACCAGTTTTCTGGACCAATACCTCCGGAAATTGGAAACTTATCAAGCATAGAAGATCTTCAACTGTCCAAGAACTATTTCAGTGGTTCCATCCCATCAGCCATCGGAAAGTTATACAAGCTCCGCAGATTATATTTGGCCTCAAACCAACTAAGTGGGGCCCTTCCTCCTGAAATAGGTGATTTGGAAAGCATAGAGTTGCTGGACTTAAGTGAGAACAATCTTGCAGGACCTTTGCCCTCATCAATAATTCGTTTGAAAAACATCAGTCTCTTTTATCTTTTTTCCAATAATTTCTCAGATAGTATTCCTGAAAATTTTGTACCTACCTTTTTAAGGAATGTGAGCTTTGCCAACAACAGTTTTTCTGGAAAGCTCCCATCAGGAATATGCAAGGGAGGAAATCTCATATTCCTGGCAGCCAATATGAACAATCTATTGGGTCCAATCCCCGAAAGTCTAAGAAACTGCACTGGACTAAACAGAGTCTTGCTTGGAAACAATCTTCTCAGTGGAGACATTACCAATGCATTTGGTATATACCCAGATCTGGACTTAATTGATTTAGGACATAATCAGCTCTCTGGTTCTTTATCAAGTAACTGGGGAGAGTGCAAAAGTCTCTCAAGTTTCAGCATATCTGCCAATAAGGTACAAGGGAATATTCCTCCTGAGCTTGGGAAGTTGCCAAATTTGCAAAAACTTGACCTATCTGACAACAATCTCACAGGATACATCCCTGTGGAAATTTTTGGCTCATCTTCCTTGCTAAACAATCTAAATTTGAATAGCAATGATCTCTCAGGTCAGATACCAGCAGAGATAGGAGAACTTTCAGAGCTGCAGTTTCTGGATTTATCAGCAAACAATCTGAGTGGGGCAATTCCAAACCAACTAGGAAACTGCAGGAAACTTATATCCTTGAAACTGAGCATGAACAAGTTAGAAGGGCATATGCCGTATGAGCTTGGGAATTTGGTTTCCTTGCAGCCTCTTTTAGATCTCAGTCATAACTTACTAAGTGGACAGATAATCACACAGCTGGGAAATCTGATATCCCTGGAGGTTTTGAATCTTTCTCATAACCAGCTTTCTGGGGCAATACCTTCTGGTCTTGAAGGACTTATCAGCCTTCAGTCAGTTGATATATCCTACAACAAACTTGTAGGTCCCCTTCCAAACCTAGAAGCTTTTCATAAAGCTCCAGCAGAAGCTCTGGTGGGTAATGCTGGTCTGTGTAGTGGTCCTGATGGCAGTGCAAATCTGAGCCCATGTGGTGGAGAGAAAAGCAATAAAGTTCATAAGCAGAAGCTGATACTTGCTTCTGTCATTCCAGTTGCTGCTTCAATCGTTCTACTTGTTTCCCTTGGAATATTCTTCTTCCAGCATTATCAAAGAGTTGATCAAGATGAAAAGGAGGAGAATTCAAACGGAGATAATTCATTCTTCATATGGAATCACAGGAATAGAGTAGAGTTTAAGGATATACGCTCTGCAACTGAGAATTTCAGTGACAAGTATTGCATAGGGATAGGAGGACAGGGCAGTGTCTACAAGGTTAAGCTTCCAACAGGTGACATCTTTGCAGTAAAACGTCTTCACCAACATGATGAAATGGACTTCTCTGGACACCAGACAAATAATTTCATGTACGAAGTTGTTTCATTGACTAATATCCGTCATCGGAATATTGTAAAAATGTGTGGGTTCAATTACTTGGATGGGTCAATATTTTTCATATTTGAGTATGTGGAAAGAGGCTCTTTAAAAAGCGTGTTGATGAACGACCAGGAGGCAAATACCTTGACATGGGACATCAGGTTAAACATGATAAAAGGAACGGCAAATGCATTGTCCTACCTGCACCACGAATGCACACCCATCATTGTTCACCGAGACATATCAGGAAACAATATTCTTTTGGACTCTGAATATGAGCCTAAGGTCTCTGACTTTGGGACAGCAAGGTTGCTAAAATATGGAGAATCAAACTGGACTGCTCCAGCTGGTTCATATGGCTATATGGCACCAGGTTTGTCCAAAAACTTTGACCATAACTTCCATTTGCTAGTTTTGCTTACCCCCAATTTATGACCTGAAATAATCAGAAAATTTCCTACTGTCAACATGGCCTTAAAGTGAACATTATCACAAATGTCAAAATTTTAGACCCATATTTCTCTTAATACTTTTTGGCACTTTCATGTTCAATTCTGTTTGCAGAGCTTGCACTTACAATGAAGGTGACAGAAAAATGTGACGTTTACAGTTTTGGAATTGTTGCATGGGAAATTCTGGTGGGGAAGTACCCTCATGAGCTCCTTTTGTGTTTAGAATCTGGGGAATTGGATCAACTCTTTGTAGATTTCATAGATAAGAGGGTAGCTCCTCCAGCAGGTCCTGCCGTTCAAATCCTAATATTGGTTGCAACCCTGATCCTTAAATGCATAAATAAAGATCCTTTGTCCCGGCCCAGCATGCATCAAGTGTCCCATGAACTTGAATCATCTTCCAGTGGGTCACTCTCTGTCCCTTTGAGCATGATCACACTGCAGATTTTGCTCGAGAATCATGAAGAAAAATAGAATCTGTGATTGACATACAGTTCATTTAGCAGCAGCTTCGCTTAAACTTGAATGTTTGTATATTTAATAGCTCTTGTAGTCAGTCACATCTACACATTGTTCAATTTTCTTTTTATCTGATTGTAAGTTTCTCAATAGACATTGATATTATAAGTATTTTAAACATTATATCGTAATAGATGGCAGCGCAAATTACATTACGTGCTTAAAAACTTTTTCAAAAAACACCATCTACTTTCAAGTTCCGATTGAAACAAATAAATCCCTTACATAAACTCTAAATAAACAGTATAACCCCGAGCAATTAAGTCACTAACATTATAAAATTACAATAACTAAATGTATTTAAGAATTTTAACGAAAAAAATACCCAAATCCTTAACAATGCCGCCTGCTGACCTGACCACCATTCTTTATCGCCTCCCACGGCCTGCGTCTCTCATTGGCTGGCTTCTGCTTCTGCTGGGAGAACAAGTTCTCTTCCTAACTCTCAATCTGATTGCTAAATGCTCCGGTCGCCGCCAGCAGCCAGCCACACCAGTGTGTCCCGTACCAGATATTTTTCTTTAAATTTGTTAAATATATTTTAATGCAATATTTGGTACTTACCTTTATTTTTTATTATGATAGAAAAACAATAAAGTATAACCCTTCATCGGATTAATGTTTTTGCTTTCGTTGCAAGGAAAAACAAATTTCTGCCAGTGTCGACAAAGAAAAAATTTCTATAGTAAAAATATAAATATTTTTTTCTTTAATTATTTTAATGTTATATTATAAAAATGAATGCGGTTATACTTCTTATCATTTTAATCTTATTATATTTATTATATGTTTGGTTATCGTTAAATCAATTGAAAATTAGCGATATTTGAAGTTGATTTAAAGGGGACGTTTGATATAGAAAAAAAAAATTATTGGAAAAAAAGAGAAATATTTTACCAAATAAATTACAAAAAAATATTTGATAGGCAAAAAAGTTTTGTGTTAATTTTACTAAAACTATGTGTAGTTAATTGTAAAAATATAATCCAAAGTTACGAAAGTACCCATCAATTTAAATATTGTTGAATATCTTCAGTCAAACGTTAATAATTTAGCTATGAAGTGTCTTTTTCTTTCTCTCTCTCAAATATCGTTTGCTTCTTTGAGTTCGTCCATCACCTCCAATGATGTGGTTACTGCACGTAAAGAACCATTTCAATTCAAAATTAAGTATTGGGTGAGAGAACTTTTTTAATAATTTATATTATATTCTCTAATAGTATCTGATATTACGGTTGCCGGAGAACTCTTGCACACCGCCAATCCTGCCCATTGCCACACCGACAAAATACTTGTATAGAGAAATTATTAGAGGCATGAGAATGAGGGAGAATGAATTGTGAGTAATGTTGCTGTGGAGGGGTTTCACGTGTGTCCTCAAAAGCTGGCTGGGGGAATGTAACTTTATCTACAAAAGCTATAGCAGTAGAGAAAAAGTGTTTGTAATCTAACAAAAAAAATGTATCAGGAGGGGTTTTATAGTTTTTTCATTCAAAATTTATATTGAAATGTTATTTATAGTAGATTTGATCTTTTTTCTTCAATGGATGCAAACATGTTAGGCCAAATTACATTAATTTGTATGTGATGTGTTTGTGATACTTTTCATTAATCTCAAATATTTATGCAAACACAAATAGAAGGAAGGTGATATTCCCCTGCAATTTCTTCGGTTGAATTCTTGAATTATATGTCATTAAAATTATATTAAATTTGCAATGTAAAATCTTGATTTGTGCAGAATGCTTCTTCCCATGACGTTGAACCGAAAAAGAAATGAAAAAAAAAATTATATGAAATTGTTTAAATAAGCACAGTTCAGGACAAGTCTCATTGTTTTTTGAGGTTTAGGTAGGTTCATTGTAAGCAACGTTACTATCCTAAACAAAAAGACTATTTCCACAACTCGAAACTGTAATAAGGTGGCTAATATGATAACGACTTGCGTCAAGACTCGTTTTCTTATTATATGGAAATTTTGAATGGTTGATATGATATTGTATGGCTCTGTTTATCTTTAATTCCTTGTTGGTTTCATGACAACATAACATGAAGAAATTTTCGCATGATATCTGCAAATTGTTGTTTTATAATGTGTTTGCTTATTTTTGCAGATTAGTGTTGTATTTAACAAAATACGTGATGAGAATACATTAAGAAGTGAACTTGCCTCGAAGAAATAATTTGAATTGAGTTAACTTAAAAAAAAAAAAAAAAAACACATCATCGGATCATATTCATGTGTAAGTGAAAGCGTTCAACCGTTAAATGAACCGGACATGTTTCAGGGGCCGTTTGATACAAGGTTTTATGGAAGATTCTCGGAAAACTGAATTTTTAATAAATTTTTAATTTTCGGATATTATTGTAAATTGAATATTTTCATCGTATTTTTAAAAATCGAGATTCTCGGATAAAAAAAAAAATTTCTCCTTTACCAAACAACCCCTGTAAATATACAAAGCATTACATGGGAAAGAGAAAGCTAATACGAACACACAGAATGGACTAAATAAAAAAATTGAAAGAGAAATTATTTCTTCTCAATTAGGATTACAAAATATTAAATATTAATATATTGAGTCTAAGAAACTTTAGTCCCTTATCCGGGATACGGTTTTGCGCAAAATGAAACCATTTGATATGCTTAAAAAAATGTATTATGAATTCTACCCAATTTTAGCTGCAACCAGTGAATCAATTACGTTTTTCAATAGATACAATTAGGTCTTAAAATTTTACTACTTTTTTTTATATAAACCACAAGTTTCATCCACGTGAAGCAATCATGTTCGAGTCAGAAATATTCATATCATGGTGGAGCTATCCTTTTCAAAGGAATTTTTTTACATTCACAAGGATTTGAACTCAAGATCTTGTTTAAGCGGACTCTAGTGTTGAACCATAGGTTAAGAAGACTATTTATAAAGTTTTGATGATAACAAAATACATACAAAGGTCCAACATAGCTCAACATGTACGCTCTTAATACAAGACATGTCAACAAATTCTAAAAGGTACAAAAAGCTTATATCAAAGTGAAAAGTTTGAAGAGAATACTCAAATTGACAAAGTCAAAGCTTTCAAGTTAAAAGGAGTACTAGAAGATTCAAACTAAGAAGACAATGAAGACTTGTGTACTTACTGATTTTAATAGTCTTATCTAAGTCACAGAACTTATAGGAATGAGTTTATTGAGTTTTTACCTTGAGGATTGCATTATAAGTCCATAAACTCATATAGGTGACACATATTCATTTTGATCATGCATGCAATGTTCACACACATCAAGAGTTGTTATACAAGTGTGAAACATGATCATACATATGTTAGAAGTCACTTAGAATCATTTAGAAATCATTAAAAATCACTTAGATGCATTAAATTTAAAAACAAACATGAAAATTGATTTCTGCATAAAAGTAATCGAATACTTTTCTAGGTTGGAAAGTAATCGAATACTTGATGAGCTAATAACTCATTGCGTACCTAAAAATACATATCATTAGGGTTCTAAACATAAAAATTAACACTGAAAATCTCATAATCTAAGAAATCTCATATTGGCTTAGTTTTGCACATCCTTGAGGAAATTCTCATTTACTCTTTCGTTTCTCAATCTTTTCCTGTTCTTTCTCTTTGTATTTGACGTGGAGAGATTGCTCTACATTTGTTTGACAAGAGTGAATTGCTGTAATTGAATTTGGTGATTTGGAGAGACCATATAGGTGATAGGTTGAGTGTGATCAAAAGTGTTGATGATAGACTTGTAAAAAGTCTTTGTAAATCAGTTTTTCTAGCATTGGTTGGAAGGTAGAACATAGTGAAACGGATCGACCTCATTCTGGAGCTCTTAAATGGTTAGAGAGTGTGGTCAAACTGTTGATGTTTTGTGCTACGTGTCACCACGTGAATGATGCAAAGTCGCGCCTGGGTGGGGCTCGACTTAGCACAAGTTGCGCCTCTGTGAGGCGTGACCAGTTCCTCCTACCTTGGGCGCGACTGGTTGCTATATATAGATCTATAAATTTGTTACAAAATACTAGGTTTTCGTAATTTCTTATTTAAATAATAATATTTTTTTTTCCGAATTTCATCGCATGATGTATTTTGTTAAATACAACGTCAATTTACAAAAATATGCACAAACACAATATAAAACAACAATTTGCAGATATCATGAGAAAACTTCTTCGTGTTGCATTGTCATGATACCAGCAACTACAAGGAATTAAAGTTAAACAGACAACATACAAGATCATATCAACCATTCAAAATTTTCTTACGAAAAATTTCATGTAATAAGAAAACGAGTATTGACGCAAGTCTTTATCATATAACCCACCATATTACAGTTTCAAGTTGTGGAAATAGTCTGTTTGCTTAGGACAGTAAAATTGCTTACATATGTACCTACTTAAACCTTAAAAAATGATGAGAGTTGGCCTGAACTGTCCTTATTTGAACAATTTCATGTAATTTTTTTTCTTCATTTCTTTTTCGGTTCAAAAGTCACGGGAAAATCATGATACTATCCATGTTTAAACCCTTATTTAAGTAAACAATTTCATATACTTTTTTTTCATTTCTTTTTCGTTTCAACGTCATGGGAAGAAGTATTCAGCACAAAACCAAGATAGTACCACATCTCCTTCTATACGTGCTTGCATAAACGTTTGAGATTAATAAAAAAAGTATGATAAACACATACATCACATACAAATTTAATGTAGCTCGCCCAACATATTTACTTTATTGATGAGAAAAGGTCATTTCTACTATAAATGATATTACAATATAATTTTGGAAAAAAAAAACTACAAACCCCTCCTGATACAACTTTTGCATGGATAAATTGTTGCAGCCATCTTTCACTATTATACTAACTTTTGAGGAAAAAGTAGCAAACCTTATGCCAACTTTTAATTCCTCAATACAAAGTATTTATGTTGCATATCTTTCATATATCTTCATATTAATTTCAAGATTTGAATCTAACAAAAAAGTAGAGAACAATTAATCATAAAAATCTAGGTCTAATCCAACAAGTAATCTCCACCCTAATCCAAATCCATCGTCAACCGACATGCTTCAAAATAATTAAATTGCCACATTCTCCATCATCTTTCAAACTACGATCAAAGTTGCCAAACAAATCTTTGTGCTTGGCATAAGATTATAGGAAACACGCCACTTGACCTACAAATTAAGAAGACTTTCCATTTGCAATTGTCCTGACATCATAACGAGAGTTATCACCTGACCTCAATTATCTTAAAGACTCTTGATACAAGGACCAACACATTAAGAACCCCACCATCACTTTGGTCCTTGATGAACCATGAGCTACACTACTTGTAGGGGGAATATCGCATAAATAATGCATTATTAGCTCTTTCTCCTAAATTTTGATAAGAAAAACTATTCCCCCAATTGCACTGCCAAATTTGCCAACATGAAGATAACTTTTCAGCTGGCAATTTTCTCTCTGGTTCTGTCTTGTGTCCTTGCAGAGATTTCAGCTCAGAAAGAAGCAGAGTCTCTCATTATCTGGATGAAAAGTTTGAACTCTCCCTTCCCGCCTTCATGGAATCTTACAAACAACAGCAATAGTCCATGCAACTGGATTGGCATTACGTGTGATGAAGAAGGCAGTGTTGTTGAGATAATGCTTCCCAATGCAGGCCTAGATGGCACCCTTAACAGGTTTGATTTTTCTGCCTTTCCTAATCTCACTACTTTCAATGTCAGTTTGAATAACCTGGCTGGAGAGATACCTGCTGGAATTGGAAAAGCAACAAAGATGAAAATACTTGATTTGGGTACCAACAATTTCACCTATCCAATCCCCAAAGAAATGGGAAACCTCATAGAGTTACAAATTCTTCGTCTCTCTAACAACTCACTCCTAAATCAAATACCAACCCAACTTAGTAACCTGCAGAAACTAAGGCTTCTTGATCTGGAGGGGAATTATTTAGGGAATCCTGACCCTGCTCAATTTAAGGGCATGGCATCCATAACAGAACTCAATCTCGCCCATAACTCTCTCACAGAGGTTCCCCCATTTGTTTCCAAATGTCCAAAGCTGGTGTCTCTTGATGTATCACTCAACATCATCACTGGGCAGATTCCAATACATTTACAGGCCAGTCATAGGAACCTGACCATCCTAGTCCTGTCAAACAACTCCTTTGAGGGGCTAATTCCGAAAGAAATTAAGAACCTTTCAAACCTCAAAAAGTTAAGACTTGAATATAACAATCTGAGTGGTAATATACCAGAGGAGATTGGTCTCTTGTCAAACCTTGAGGTGCTTGAATTGCATCAAAATGTCTTCCAAGGTCCAATACCATCATCAATTGGAAATCTTCGTATGCTTCAGTTTTTGGATCTTCACAATTCAGGGCTAAATTCCAGCATCCCAGATGAGATAGGCTTCTGCAACAACCTTACCTTTCTTGATATGTCAGGAAATAGCCTGACAGGTCCCTTGCCTCTTTCCATGGCTTCATTAACAAGGATCAAAGATTTGGGAATCTCTGATAACAATTTATCCGGAGAACTTCATTCATCTCTTGTTTCCAGTTGGCCAGAACTCACTTCTTTACAACTCCAGTTGAATCACCTTTCAGGAAGACTTCCCCCAGAGATTGGTTCACTTCACAATCTAACTCTCCTGTTCCTATATAATAACCAGTTTTCGGGACCAATACCTCCTGAAATTGGAAACTTATCGAGCATAAATGATCTCGAACTCTCCAGCAACTCTTTCAATGGTTCCATCCCATCAACAATCGGAAAGTTACACAAGCTCCGCATATTACATCTGTCCTCAAACCAACTAATTGGAGCCCTTCCTCCTGAAATAGGTGATTTGGAAAGCTTAGAAGTGCTGGACCTAAGTGAAAACAATCTTGCAGGACCTCTGCCCTCATCAATAATTCGTTTGAAAAACATCACTCTCCTTCATCTTTATTCCAATAATTTCTCAGATAGCATTCCTGAAGATTTTGGACCTACCTTTCTAACGAATGTGAGCTTTGCCTACAACAGCTTTTCCGGAAAGCTCCCTTCAGGAATATGCAAGGGAGGGAATCTTATCTATTTGGCAGCCAATATGAATAACCTATTGGGTCCAATCCCAGAAAGTCTAAGAAACTGCACTGGACTAAACAGAGTCTTGCTTGGAAACAATCTTCTCAGTGGAGACATTACCAATGCATTTGGTATATACCCAGATCTGGAATTCATTGATTTAGGACATAATCAGCTCTCTGGTTCATTATCAAGTAACTGGGGAGAGTGCAAAAGGCTAGCAAGTTTCAGCATATCTGCCAATAAGGTACAAGGGAATATTCCTCCTGAGCTTGGGAAGTTGCCAAATTTGCAAAAACTTGACCTATCTGACAACAATCTCACAGGAGACATCCCTGTGGAAATTTTTGGCTCATCTTCCTTGCTACTCAATCTAAATCTGAGCAGCAATGATCTCTCAGGTCAGATACCAGCAGAGATGGGAGAACTTGCAGAGCTGCAGTGCCTGGATTTGTCAGCAAACAATCTGAGTGGGGCAATTCCAAACAAACTAGGAAACTGCAGTAAACTTATATCCTTGAAACTGAGCATGAACAAGTTAGAAGGGCTTATGCCGAATGAGCTTGGGAATTTGGTTTCCTTGCAGCCTCTTTTAGATCTCAGTCATAACTTACTAAGCGGACAGATAATCACACAGCTGGGAAGTCTGAAATCCCTGGAGGTTTTGAATCTTTCTCATAACCAGCTTTCTGGGGCAATACCTTCTGGTCTTGAAGGACTTATCAGCCTACGGTCAGTTGATATATCCTACAACAAACTTGTAGGTTCCCTTCCAAACCTAGAAGCTTTTCATAAAGCTCCAGCAGAAGCTATGGTGGGTAATGCTGGTCTGTGTAGTGGTCCTGATGGCAATGCAAATCTGAGCCCATGTGGTGGAGAGAAAAGCAATAAAGTTCACAAGCATAAGCTGATAATTGCTGTAGTCATTCCAGTTGCTTCTTCAATCGTTATACTTGTTTCCCTTGGAATATTCTTCTTCCAGCGTTATCAAAGAGTTGATCAAGATGAAAAGGAGGAGAATTCAAACGGAGATAATTCATTCTTCATATGGAATCACAGGAACAGAGTAGAGTTTAAGGATATACGCTCTGCAACTGAGAATTTCAGTGACAAGTATTGCATAGGGATAGGAGGACAGGGCAGTGTCTACAAGGCAGTGCTTCCAACAGGTGACATCTTTGCAGTAAAACGTCTTCACCAACATGATGAAATGGACTTCTCTGAACACCAGACAAATAATTTCATGTATGAAGTTGTTTCATTGACTAATATTCGTCATCGGAATATTGTAAAAATGTGTGGGTTCAATTACTTGGATGGGTCAATATTTTTCATATTCGAGTATGTGGAAAGAGGCTCTTTAAAAAGCGTGTTGCAGAACGACCAGGAGGCAAATACCTTGACATGGGACATCAGGTTAAACATGATAAAAGGAATGGCAAATGCATTGTCCTACCTGCACCATGAATGCACACCCATCATTGTTCACCGAGACATATCAGGAAACAATATTCTTTTGGACTCTGAATATGAGCCTAAGGTCTCTGACTTTGGAACAGCAAGGTTGCTAAAAGATGGAGAATCAAACTGGACTGCTCCAGCTGGTTCATATGGCTATATGGCACCAGGTTTGTCCAAAAACTTTGACCATAACTTCCATTTGCTAGTTTTGCTTACCTCCAATTTATGACCTGAAATAATCAAAAAAATTCTTACTGTCATCATGGCCTTAAGTGAAAAAAATTATCACAAATGTCAAAATGTTAGACTCGCATTGGTCTTAATACTTTTTGGCACTTTTATGTTTAATTTTGTTTGCAGAGCTTGCACTTACAATGAAGGTGACAGAAAAATGTGACGTTTACAGTTTTGGAATTGTTGCATTGGAAATTCTGGTGGGGAAGTACCCTCATGAGCTCCTTTTGTGTTTAGAATCTGGGGAATTGGATCAACTCTTTGTAGATTTCATGGATAAGAGGGTAGCTCCTCCAGCAGGTCCTGCCGTCCAAATCCTAATATTGGTTGCAACCCTGATCCTTAAATGCATAAATAAAGATCCTTTGTCCCGACCCAGCATGCATCAAGTGTCCCAAGAACTTGAATCATGTTCCAATGGGTCACTCTCTGTCCCTTTGAGCATGATCACTCTGCAGATTTTGCTGCACAATCATGAAGAAAAATAGATTCTGGTTTTGACATAAAGTTCCTTTAGCAGCTTAATAGTTCTTGTAGTCAGTCACATCTACACATTGTTCTATTTTCTTTTCTCTGATTGTAAGTTTCTCGATAGACATTATAGCAAATTACATTACGTACTTCAAACTTTTTCAAAAAACACCATCTACTTTCAAGTTCCAATTGAAACAAATAAATCTCTTACATAAACTCCAAATAAACATTATAACCCCGAACAACTAACTCACTAACATTATAAAACTACAATAACTAAAATTATTTAAGAATTTTAACGAAAAAATACCCAAATCCTTAAGAATGCCGCCTGCTGACCTGACCACCATTCTTTATCGCCTCGCATGGCCTGCGTCTCTCATTGGCTGGCTTCTGCTTCTGCTTCTGCTTCTGCTTCTGCTGGGAGAACAAGTGCTCTTCGTAACTCTGAATGTGATTGCTAAATGGTCCTCTTCATGGTCGACACCGGCGGTCGGTGGCCGGCATCACCCAGCCACACCAGTGTGTCCCGTACCAGATATTTTTCTTTAAATTTGTTAAATATATTTTAATGCAATTTTTTGTACTTACCATTATTTTTTTTATTATGATAGAAATTAAGAAGTATAACCTTTTAGGCTTTTATTGGGATAAATTTTTCTGATTTTACTTTCTGCCACACGGGACATTTTTTCTGTAATAAAAATAAAAAAGAAAATTTCTTTAATTATTTTAGAGTATAGTTATATTGACAAATTTATAAATTATACTATGTCTCTGACCGGTCATCCTCTACTCACGAGTGTATTACTGATCAGACATAGTGTAATTTGTAAACAAAAAATTTATAAATATAACATTTCTCATTATTCTAACGTTATATTATAAAAATAAGGGCAGTTATGTTTACTATTATTTTAATTTTACTATGCTTATTATCTGTTTGATTAATTTAAAATCAATAGTATTTTAAATTGATTTAATAGTAACCAATTAGGTAATAAAAATAATAAAATTAAAATGATAGTAAATATAAATTTTTCCTATAAAAATATGTTTAAACATGATGTATTGGTTGCATATTAAACTTTTAGGGTCAATTTGAAATATATATATATATATATATATATATATATATATATATATAGTTATATGATGATTTTGAAAGAGGGAAGCTGAAATAATTTTTAATTAGAATTAATTAATAAGATAAAGAGTAAAATTGATAAATATAAATTTAAAATAAGTGCAAAGTTTAAAAAAAATTTGAGAATTTTAAAAAGTTAATTTATATATTAAAAAACTCTTTTTATAATAAAAGCTTTTATATAAAAATGTTTAACTTAAATTTCTACTTCTAAGAAAAATAGAAACTAAAAATAAGCACTCTATCGACTTAAGAGTGCTCGTATCAACGCCTTTTGCTATTTGGGCCGTGTGGTATTGTGTGGTCCATTCTTTTCCTACTCTGAACTCTCTCTCTCTTTTTTCTTCTTCAAAAGTGACCTACTTTGGTTCACATACATTCATGTTATAACTCTCATTTTTTATTAATATTGATAGATAATTTATTAATATTTCATTACTAATTATTAATAATAATCAAATTACTAATCAATAATTTTATTTTTAATCATTGATTATTTAATTAATGATTTTAGTAATTAGTAATTTAATTGTTAATTAGTTATAATTAAATATCAATAATTTGAGGGAATCATAACCATACAAAGATAGAAATAAATATAACTGTTGGATCAACATAATTGATATAACGGTGAAATTGATCAGTAGTAACATTAGTAATAACCCTAAATAATTGTTACAATATCCTACCCTCGAGAATAGCTTTTTACAATTCAATTTGGTTAAACACTCCTAGAAAAGAAACCATTTTTTTTTTTTCGTAAACTAAAGTTGATCAACTAATTATAAGCCAATCATTAATTAAAAGTTCTAAAAATAAGAAAATATTTAAAATTAAATCAACCCAAATAATAATTTAGAGTTACAAATCCCAGCCTTAAAAATAGTATTTTTTCCACTTAATTGTCAAGCAAATTCTGCACTGTGATCATGCTGAAAGGAACAGATAGTGACCAACTGGTAGATGATAAAAGCTCTTGGGACACTTGATGCATTGTGGGTCGGTATAAAGGATCTTTATTCAGACATTTAAGGATCATGGTTGCAGCCAATATTAAGAGTGGGACAGCAGGATCAACTGGAGTATCTACCCTCTTATCTAAGAAATCTACAAAGTGTCGATCCAATTCCCCAGACTCTAAACACAAAAAGAGCTCATGAGGGTACTTCCCCACCAGAATTTGCAATGCAACAATTCCAAAACTGTAAACGTCACTTTTTTCTGTCACCTTCATTGTAAGTGCAAGCTCTGCAAAAAAATTATATATAAAAGTGCCAAAAAGTATTAATAGCAATATAAGTATAAATTTTTAAAAGTTGTGATAATGTTCATTAAGGCTATGTAACATTAGAAATTTTCTAGTTGTCTCATGTTATAAATTGGAGGTAAAAGGATGTTCTAGTTTAACCAGTGATCTCGAGTTTGAGTTCTTGAGAGTTTTGTCACCTATGTGATCCTATCCGGCTTGAATTAGTCGAATAATAGATGAACCAATGGATAATATCCAAAGAAATAATTAAATTCTGAGGTAAGTCAAACTGGAAAATAAAATTTATGGTCAAAGTTTTTGTACAAACCTGGTGCTATATAGCCATATGATCCGGCTGGAGCAGTCCAGTTTGATTCTCCTTCTTTTAGCAACCTTGCTGTCCCAAAGTCAGAGATCTTAGGCACATATTCAGAGTCCAAAAGAATATTGTTTCCTGATATGTCTCTGTGAACAATGCTTGGTGTGCAATCATGGTGCAGATAGGACAATGCATTTGCCACTCCTTTTATAATGTTTAACCTGATATCCCAGGTCAAGATATTTGCCTCCTGTTCGTTCTGCAACACCATTCCTAAAGAGCCTCTTTCCACATACTCATATATGAAAAACATGGACATATCCCTGTAACTGAATCCACACATTTTTACAATATTCCTATGTCGAATATTAGTCAATGCTTGAATTTCAGACATGAAGTTCTTTTCCTGGTGTCCAGAGAAGTCTATTTCTTCTTGTTGGTGAAGACGTTTTATTGCAAAGATGCCACCTGTTGGAAGCACTGCCTTGTAGACACTGCCTTGTCCTCCTATCCCTATGCAGTGTTTGTCACTGAAATTATCAGTTGCAGCACGTATATCCTTAAACTCAATTATACTCCTATAATTCCATATGGAGAATGAGTTCTTTCCGTTTGAACTTTTGTCCTTTTCATCTTGATCAACTCTTTGATAACGCTTGAAGATGAAGATTCCAAAGGAAACCAGTAGAATGAATAAAGCAGCAACTGGAATGACTACAGCAATTATCAGCTTATGTTTATTACCTTTATTGCTTTTCTCTCCACCACATGGACTCAGATTTGCATTGCCATCAGGACCAGCACACAAACCAGCATTTTTCACCAGTGCTTCTGCTGGAGCATTATGAAAAGCTTCAAGGTTTGGAAGGTGACCTTCAAGTTTGTTGTAGGATATATCAACTGACTGAAGGCTGATAAGTCCTTCAAGACCAGAAGGTATTCCCCCAGAAAGCTGGTTATGAGAAAGATTCAAAACCTCCAGGGATATCAAATTTCCCAGCTGTGTGATTATCTGTCCACTCAGTGAGTTATGGCTGAGATCTAAAAGAGGCTGCAAATAAAGCAAATTCCCAAGCTCATACGGCATATTCCCATCTAACTTGTTCATGCTCAGTTTCAAGAATATAAGTTTCCTGCAGTTTCCTAGTTGGCTTGGAATTGTACCACTCAGATTGTTTGCTGATAAATCCAGATACCGCAACTCTGAAAGTTCTCCTATCTGTGTTGGTATCTGACCTGAGAGATCATTGTTGCTCAAATTTAGATTGAGAAGCAAGGAAGATGAGCTAAAAAGCTCCACCGGGATATTTCCTGTGAGATTGTTGTCAGATAGGTCAAAGTTTTGCAAACTTGGCAATTTCCCAAGCTCAGGAGGGATATTCCCTTGTACCTTATTGGCAGATATGCTGAAACTTGAGAGACTTTTGCACTCTCCCCAGTTACTTGATAACAAACCAGAGAGCTGATTATGTCCTAAATCAATGAAGTCCAGATTTGGGTATATACCAAATGCATTGGTAATATCTCCACTGAGAAGATTGTTTCCAAGCAAGACTCTGATTAGTCCAGTGCAGTTTTTCAGACTTTCTGGGATTGGACCCAATAGATTATTCATACTGGCTGCCAAATAGACAAGATTCCCTCCCTTGCATATTCCTGAAGGGAGGTTTCCAGAAAAACTATTGTTGGCAAAGCTCACATTCGTTAGAAAGGTAGGTCCAAAATCTTCAGGAATACTTCCTGTGAAATTGTTGGAGTGAAGATAAAGGATATTGATGTTTTTCAAACGAATTATTGATGAGGGCAAAGGTCCTTCAAGCTTATTCTCACTTAAGTCCAGCTCTAGTAAGCTTTCCAAATTGCCTATTTGTGGAGGAAGGGCTCCACTTAGTTGGTTTGAAGCCAGATATAATGTGCGGAGCTTATATAACTTTCCAAAGGTTGATGGGATGGAACCACTGAAATAGTTGTTGGACAGTTGAAGATCTTGTATGCTTGATAAGTTTCCAATTTCAGGAGGTATTGGTCCAGAAAATTGGTTGTTATATAGGAACAGGAGAGTTAGATTGTGAAGTGAACCAATCTCTGGGGGAAGTCTTCCTGAAAGGTGATTAAACTGGAGTTGTAAAGAAGTGAGTTCTGGCCAACTGGAAACAAGAGATGAATAAAGTTCTCCGGATAAATTGTTATCAGAGATTCCCAAATCTTTGATCCTTGTTAATGAAGCCATGGAAAGAGGCAAGGGACCTGTCAGGCTATTTCCTGACATATCAACTAAGGTAAGGTTGGTGCAGAAGCC